TTTGAACATGTTGGGATGGTAGTGCTTATGAGTGTATCCAAATAGTTATATACAACAAGCATTCGAATCATGAGAGAGGTCCAGGCTAGAGATAAAGCACTTCAAATCCTCAGCAGACTCATGATAGTCAAACAATAAGAATTGTATTACCTAAGGAAAACTCATTCATTCATTCATTCATTCAACAAATACTTAATGAGCACCTGCTATATGACAGACCCTTTTTTTGGGCTCTGTGGTTGAAGTAATGGACAAAATAGTCTCTGCTTCTACAGAACGTGAATTCTATAAACCAGATTAGAAAGAGCACTGGGTCAGAAAGCAGTGTAGATGGAGGCAGAGAAGGTCTCAAGGAGACTAAGAAAAGCAGAAGAGGACCAGAAGTAGGCTCTTAGAAGTAATGGAAAGAAAGAATGTTAAAGAGACAGTCAACAATGTCAAACATGGCAGAGATGTTTACTTAAGTAAGACCTAAAGAATGTTCATTAGGTTTGGAAATATGGAAGCAATGCTGACCTCAGTGAAAGCAGTTTTGAGGGGGTGTGGAGCATAGATAAAATAGCAGTGTATTTAAGAGCTTAAAGAAAATTGGAGACACTGAATATAAAACACATTTAAAAGAGATGTGGATGAGAAGTGAAATATATAGGATGGAGGCTGGAGGGAGAAGGCCATTTGTGCAGAAATCTTGAAAACTTTATCTTTTGTCCCAATTTTGCATTTCCAGTGGATTCTGGACATCTTTATCTTGATATGCCACCAACAATACAACCTCAACAACTAACTAAAGCATCAGAAAACCCTATTTTTTGTGTGTGCCCTCACTATTTCTACATACCCTGCCTTTAAACTGCCTCCTTTCCACAATTTTTATATTTAATCAGCAGCAGGACCTGCCTTTTCTTCACTTTGTATTGCTACCTCTCTACTGCAGACCCTCAGTACATGATTGATTTTGTCACCCTAACCAAAGTCCTCTCTAACTCTTGTGTTTTTGCTTAACAATCCATCCCAGCCATCACTGCCAAAATCATCTTGCTAAAAACACATTCCTGTTCATGTTACTCTCCTGATCTCAAGGCTTTAAGGGTTTTCTAGTGCCAACCCAGTTAAATGCAAACCCACTAAATTGGTATTCAAGTTTCTCCATAATATGGTTTCAATCAAACTTCTTTGTCTTATGTTTTTTTTCTCCAAACTTGTACCCTGAGATCCAGTCAAAGTGGCTTGATCATTGTTTCTTAAGTTTAACTTTTTCCCCACCTTGGACATGAATGCTCCTGTACTTTGTCCAAATTTTATCTACCCTTTAAATTCCAGTTCAGTCCAGTTTCTCATTAAAAAGTTTTTTTAATGTTTATTATTTTTGAGAGAGAGAGACACAGAGACAGAGACAGAGACAGAGAGCAAGTGGGGAAGGGGCAGAGAGACAAGGAGACACAGAATCTGAAGTAGGCTCCAAGATCTGAGCTGTCAGCACAGAGCTTAATGTGGGGTTTGAATTTGTGAATGCGAGATCATGACCATGTCGCATGGCTGGTCAGTGACAAAGCAGTGCTATAATCCTACCTCTTGACTCTCAGTCCAGTCTTCTTTCCAACTCATGACAGCACCTGTTTGGGAAGCTTGAGTTGATCCACCGTCTTTGTCATTATCGTCCCTGACTTAATGGTCCCTGGCACCATCATTAGTGTTAAAGTCATAGAGCCCTTCCTAGTTGCACAAATTTGTGAATCCACAACCAAAGGAAAAACTGGAAGAAGGCTCGAGCAGCCCACCCAACTTACCAGGCGGAAGAGGGAAATGGTGTTCCCAGTGATGTTGTAGTGGGCCAGAACCTCAGAATCCGTGCTGATTCCAAATGACACGGCTTGGAATTTTTGCACCATACTGTGGAATAGGGACACTGCTGGGATTTCTAAATCCTGAAAACAAGAGGGGGAAAAAACCCACAGGGATTATTTTGGAGAGGAGACACATAGAAATAGAAAAGGGAGTAGAAACGTGCTCACTCATATAAAAAAATAATAGACTTGATTTAGTGTCAAGTGAAACAACATTTACCTCTAAATTTGCAGTGGTATTGTTGAGTTTTCCAGGCTTGGTGGGCTAATAGGTAACTACAAAATTGTAGCTAAGCCTGAAACTCCTGTCTGGCCTTACCATAAAACTTGCAGTTTATTAGCAGAGAAGGGCCTCAAAATCATAGACGCCTGTGGAGTTTGGCTGCACTGTCATTGATATACCCGAGGAGGCAAATGTCTTGGGAACAGTTTGTGGAGGAAAGAAGGAATGCAGAAATAAATAGGTACTGTCAAAGGTCCTGAAAGGAAAATAATAATAATAAAGGAAATTAAAATGGAACTTAGAGGTTTTATTAACAAAAGTTTTGCCGGATGTGGAAGAACAATCCTCTTCCCCTGCATTGAGCCTGAGGTATTGCCCATGAAGATACTGTTTCTGTGTTGTTCCAACTCTAGAACTCAGGCCTGCAGCAGACAGCAGGGAAACCACATCTAAGCGATGATCCAGTCCTTCTACAGCAAGCTGGCATCATTTTCCCTGCTGTCACAGGACCTTTGCTGATAGCAGCTCCAGGCAATAAACAGGAGGGAGCATATTCTTTTCTGACATCTTTCTGGGCTGGAGGAAGAGATATGCAAAAAGAAAGAAGCTGACTAACCTTGCATCTGGGGTAATTGGACAGGGTGTGTGGAGTTCATCCGAGGCTATGAACAATTGCTAATCTAGGCTTGCCCTTTTTTAATTCCCCTTAGAGTGGAATTACTCATGGATCAAATGACGGACGGCATCTGGTGGCTGTTTAAGTTATTGCAAATTCCTCTATTCCCACTTTCTTTGCCTCTCCCTGCCTTTCTGAAGGTGGCCGTTTCTGTCTACCGCTCAGATCTCTCATCACTGAGAAACATGCTCCCCTGTCTTCCTTCCCCACATGCATCTCACTGAAGCTATTTCCAGCTGTGTACACAGAATTGACAGGGTGATGGTGACTAATTAGTGGAAATAGATAAGAAGGTCTGCAATAAGAGTAGGGGCTTGATCTGTGAGAATAACCAGATGTTACCTTCAAACAAAGATAAAAATGCTGGAATGGTGCCCTTTCATTTATGGCTGCTTTCATTAGTCAGGCAGCCAATCTGGAAGATGGAGGCTAATACCTCAAATATTCAAAATGTCATCCTTTTTCAACATTTTGGAACAAAGAGAAAGACAAGTGAGGGACTACCTACTTGGTAAGGCTTTAGAAAGAGATTAACTATTGACTTATGTGTTCCCTGGATGATAGAGGTTGGGTTTACTCTGGTCTCTGCCTCAGCAATCCAGACACTGACTTAACATTGAAAGCATTTATAGATGAGAAGATCCAGAACTCTTTTTTGGGGGGATGGGGGGAAGAGAGGGACAGAGGGAAAGAGAGGGAGAGAGGGAGAGAGAGAGAATCCCAAGAAGACTCCACACTCAGTGATGAAGCCCAATGAGGGGCTTGATCCCATGACCCTGGGATCATGACTTGAGCCAAAACTAACAGTTGGATGCTCAACTGACTGAGCCACGCAGGCACCCCAAGACTGAGAAGTCTTGAATCCAGTGTGAGAAAGACATAATTCAGAGACTGGGAATGTCTTGAAATTGAGAGGTCTAGATTGATAAGCTGAAAGTGAAGTCTGTGCCCCTTGACTTCTAGTGCAGTGGCCAGCAGGTGACTCTCATGTCTGCTCTGAGGTAGAATGTTTCCGGTTCTTTGGGGGAACAGAAATGGGGTCACTGGACAAACCTGGAAGAAACCTATGACAGCCACCTCAGCAGCAGCAATGAATTCCATGGTAGCTGGGACATCTGTGAGCTGCACAGTTTTCCGGGAAGCACCAGGATCATCTACAGAGAGAGAGAGAGAGAGAGAGGGAGAAGCAGAAGGTTTTGGGGTATCAGGGGCACTGTCATCATCCCAAGGCTTTATTGTTTTATAAGGAAGGTGACTTCACCTCATGGTCTCTCTCTGAAGAATAATGCTAGGCTTCTCTTGTCTCTACTATGGAACACAAATCTTTATCCAGCATTTCCTAGAAGATGTTCTACATCGGGAGGAACAACACCCAGATCACTACCATATTCCCTTTCCTTCACAATACTTTTGCCCTATGGTCACCCAAGTGCTTTTTTCTTTTACCTGAGGATTCCTGAACTTCTGCAGCAACTTCTGGAGATAGTTGGCACATGAAAAGAAATAATAGAAACAGGAATCTGCATTGGTCAGCTTCCATCCTTCTTTTTCTGCTCCTGCTCCAAGCCCTGGACCTGTTATGGGAGGCCAATTCACAGCAGCCTACTCCAGTTAACTGGCCATAGTGTTGTTAGTGTTCTGGGAACTTTGCAGCTGGTTCTATGGGAACCTTCAACTTCTGAGATTAAAGACCAGGTTCAGTGACAAGATCTCAGAACATAACCGGCCAGAAGAAAGTCAAGTCTGTTCATTTATAAATTTTTTTTTTTACATTTTTAATTTATTTTTGAGAAACAGAGTGAGACAAAGCTTGAGCGGGGGAGTAGCAGAGAGAGAGAAGGAGACAGAATCTGAAGCAGGCTCCAGGCTCTGAGCAAGCAGTCAGCACAGAGCCTGACGCAGGGCTTGAACCCACAAACTGTGAGATCATGACCTGAGCCGAAGTCTGACGCTCAACAGACTGAGCCACCCAGGCACCCCAAGTCTGTTCATTTAGATTAAATAAAAAGGAAATATTCTCTGCAGGTATTGATCTAAGTACTAGGGATACAAAGATAAGTATGATCTGATCCAGCCTTTCCCAGATTGTTAGTGTGAAAGATGAACAAATAAACAGATTATTTAAATATAAAATGGGAGGTGATTAAAAATTGAGAAACTCATAGGATACTATGAAAATACAGACTTAAGGACACTTAGCACAATGGTGGGGTTCAGTGAAGGTTTTCTTCCTACAAGGGATGCCTAAGCAGAGTCCCCTGTAAATAGGATTTTCCAGGCAACAGAGGTGGAAGGAGAGTTTCATGTAAAGAGCCCATTCATGTAAAGAGCCCAAACACGGAGATGCAAATGTAATGTGTGAGAGAATTATTAGTAATTGAACTTAGGCCAGATTGTAGGGGGCATTATACAATAAGTGTAGGATCTTATTCTCTAAGCAACTGGGATCATATTGGAAGGTCGTAAGCAGGAGAGAAGCAGTGGCTGATTTGGCCCACACGTGCCCTCTGAAATCCAAGATAGGATTCCCATAGGTAGTAGGATATATGGGTCTCAAGCTCAGGAGAAAGTTCCATATGGTACTACCATAAAATAAAATATCTCAGGATTTCTACTATTCACATTCTGAATATTCATTGCTCATTGCACTAGAACAGGGAGACTAAACATTTCCTAGTGATGTAAATACCGTCTCTACTGTGTCCAGCCCACACATATGCTCTGAGGAAACTCACAAATGTAAACAATGTAGTTATCATATTTGTTCAAAGAAAGAAGGCAGGGAAATGAGGGTCTCAGTCAGATCATACAACTGTTTTATTTATTCTCTTGTGTTGTTTACAGTGTCTCCCATAAAAGAAGAACCCCAACTGGTAGGCAACGTGATTAGGGACCTTCACTGAGCCAGCAGCAACCACAGAAGAATGCAGGGATGGGAATGAGCTACTGGAACCCAAGGCAAAGGACTGTTAGTGATAGTTTGCCTATTTCTTGGCCTCTAGTTGCTCACATGGGAAAAATAGAAGGAAATACTAAATGACCATGTATTGAAATGAAGAATTTTGAAGATCTGGCCATGATGAGGATTGGAAGGAATGGGCAGGATTAAAGTCTGGGTGTTAAGCATCTTGTGCTAGGGACCACTTTGAGAGACATTGCGGGACAAGAAGCATTGATAACAGAATGTGGGGGGTATTGGGGAAAGGACCTAGCTCTGAACAGGGAGGAGGGACAGGGTGATGAATATGACAGAGAGGGTACTTCTGAGTGGCAAGGTGGGGAAAAGGAAGGGCAGATGCACTCATTCTGTCCATTCCTTCTTAATAGACAGGTTCCACTCCCAGGTAAGGTGGTCATGCTTGTCATCGTCGGTGAAGAAGGACTTGTTGTGGTAAGTGCCTCGGGCCAGCATACCCTTGGGAGCCTCCTCAATCGGAGTCAGGAACTCATACTCCTCTGGCCGAGGCCCGTAGCTGCCAACCATAAATGTCGCTTTATCCACTAGGAAGAAAGGAAAGTTCATTAGGGTAAGAGTCTGAAAGAGAAAACAAACACAGCAAACTGGAAATTTCGGAGCACAGCTCACAGTGATCAACGCCAAGAGCCACAGTTTCCAATACTGGCAAAATGTCAGATTTACATGGGGCACCTTTTTATTTTCTTTAAAATATTTTTTTTTATCGGAGTACCTTTTTTTTTTTTTTTAATTTTTTTTTTTAACGTTTATTTATTTTTGAGACAGAGAGAGACAAAGCATGAACGGGGGAGGGTCAGAGAGAGGGAGACACAGAATCCGAAACAGGCTCCAGGCTCTGAGCTGTCAGCACAGAGCCCGACGCGGGGCTCGAACTCACGGACCGCGAGATCATGACCTAGGCCGAAGTCGGTTGCTTAACCGACTGAGCCACCCAGGCGCCCCTATTGGAGTACCTTTTAATAATACAGTTTTCTTTGACCCACTCTTAGATACTATGGACAAGTAATCTTCCATGGGTGGTCCCAAGAATCAGTGTTTTAAAAAGCATCACAGCTGATACTATCAGGAGAGTTGGGAAATCTGTGCCTTAAAGCTATGGGGATCAAGACTCTTTTATGGTAGATGTAGCAGATTATACCATAAAAAAAACTCCACATTAACGGAAACCTGAGTTCTGATCTTAGCTCTGCAACTATTTAAGTCACATAACATTTCTGGGCCTCTGTTTCTTCCTATATGCAATTAACTTCTTCTAATCTACAAACTATCGTTCTATGAACATATCAGTTGGGGGAGGCAAGGTAACAGAGGGTGATCAGAATGAACAATACTCATGGATGGAATTGTTGGATGGATGGGGAAAATCAATAATTTGGTAAAAAAAAAAAAAAGTCTTCACAAATGTTGAAAATAGCCAACCCAAATTATTAACAGGTGAATAACTGGGATATATATTAAGTAGAGCATTAGAAACTGTAACTAAGGCTAGGTAGATAGACAGGCAGGCAAAGTGTAGTTAGCTGTAAAGTGTTGTGAAGAAGCTTAGAGGAACAGCTACAGACATATCATCGTCCTCTTGCCTAATTGAGGCAACATAGTCTCTATACCCAAGGAAAATAGGAAACAGAACTATTTTTTCATGAGACTTGGTATTGGAAAGACCAGTTAAGATCTTCCAGGTCAATAATCTTCTGTGGGGTTTGAGTCATTGAGTGGTTGTCTGTGTCCTGCAAATTTATCAGACAATTCTCTCCTAATCCTTTGTGTATTAATTCGATGGAACTGATCTGGGCAGTACTGTCTCACACCCCTGGAAGGAGACAGCCCCCAAGGTAAGATGGAACTGTAAAAGTACTTCCATCATCTTTCCAAGTGTCATTTCTCCCTGCCCACAACAATGGAAGGAAACTGGAGGCAGTTCCCCAAGGCATGTACAGGTTAGGTACAATTTGTCAAGAGCAGCTGCAGATCAAGTAGTGTCACATTATGTCTCAATCACAGCTTTTCTCAACTCTAGAAAGATTCTATTTCTTTGTTTAAAAAATTCAGTGCTGCTCCCTGCTCCCCTACCTCCACTCCACAACTGCCCACATGCTACTTCCGTCTCCCATTTCCAAAAGACACACATAACACATACCACTAGATAGATCTTTCTGGTCTTGGATTTCTCTGACACATGTATACCTGTGAAC